TATGGTGGTGTCCCACCAGGGCCTGCCCCTCAAGCTGGAGCTCGTCAAGAGGATACTCTCAACACTCGTGCTGCCCAGCCCCGTGCCCTACCGCTCCCTGCTGCGCCGCTTCGCCGCGCTCAGCAGCAAGAGCACCGCAGAGGTGGGGCCGCGCTGTCCATCCGCGACACCACCGCCGCCCGGTCGCGCACCCCGGTCATGGCAACCTGCCTTGGGCCGCTGGCTTGTCCCTGCATAACCCAGCAGTGAGGAGCAAACTCGCCGTGTCAAAGCATCCACGGCCTGCGATTCTCACCTACCTATCAACCGCCCGAATCGGCCCTCCCATCTTAGGTGGCCCTGCGCGCGCAGCAGCTGCTGGAGGTCAGCCTGCTAGCGGACATGCGCGCGGTGGTGGCGCGGGCCCTCTCGGGCCTGGACATGTTCAGCAGCGCCGACGGCGGGAAGCAGCCCTCGCCCACGGCGGCCGGCGCCGGCGCGACGCCGTTCACGGCGACGGCGGCAGCCGCAGCGGCGGGCGGGGTGGCTCTCGCGCACGCACACGACCTCAAGGCGAGCCGCTGGCCGGGCTGGCGGTCTCAGGGATTGAAAGCGAGCTGCGCAGCCTCATGGCTCAAGGAACCTGCCGGTGGCTGCGGTTCCTTTTGGTAATGTGCTGAGTGGTTTTGCTGCAGCAAAACTCCTGCAACCCACTGGCACCTGCGGATCCCACAACACCATCGAAACTGCTGCGCCCCTCATCGCGCCGCCTTACCCCCATTCACCAGGTTGTTGCGCGCAAGGCCACCATTAGGGAGGGCGTCTACGCCGGCCTCAACAGCCTGCTGCCGCCCGGCATCTCCGTCCTGGAGGGACGCCTCAGCGCAGAGGTGGGACCGGTTCTTGGACCCGGGCCCATCAGAGCCGCCCGCCGACCTCTGGTTCGGCGTCTGCTGAGCAGCAACATGCCTGCTGGCTCTTTTATTTGGCTGAGGCTGCTTACACCGATGGGTGTGTCCAGCCTTCAACCCGGGTCTCCTTACGGCGCCCATCGCCCTGCCCTTCGTCCCGCCCTCCCACGAAGCAGCAGCTGTCGTCGCACGCGTCGCACCCCTCCCAGGGCCGCGTGTCTGGCGCGGGCTCCAGCACCTACGGCCTGGCGGAGCGCATCGGCGGCGTGACCGTGGAGCGCAGCAGCAGCAACGGCGGGCCCGTCACGCCCCATGGTGCGACAGCGGTGGCTGTTGATCAACCCCATCAGCGCGCTGCCTGGGTGACCTGCCTCGCGAGCTGCGCGTTTTTCTGAACAAATCCGGCTGAGAACCTCCACAAAGTAGACATGGCATGCCACGCACTTGTTGAGTGCTGCTTTTAACAACCCCCAATGCCGTGACATCACATCCGCAGTGGAGCACAAAATTGAGACTCTGGTGGCCGCCCCGGCGGCGGTGGAGGAGGCGCTCGCGTCACTGATCGTGGACCACCAGGTCTGAGGGGCCACCTGCAGACACGCGTGTGTGCTTGTGTGTTATAGTGCACATGTGTGTGCTTGCAGCTGTGGCCGTGTAATTCAGGTGTGTGTGTATGTGTTTCTTCAGGTGTGTGACTAGTTTCTGTGCTGCTGCTTGCACGTGGGTGTGGAGTTCAAAGTATGCAAAATTTGTCGTGCTCCTCATCGGCCCCGCGTCATCCTGCTGCCACCAACAGAATTGCGATGTCTCGGGAGAACCCCCCTAATCACCCCCCCACCCACCCACACACACACACACACACACACACACACTCCCCAGGACCCCGCGCTGCAGTACCGCGCCCTGCTGACCTACATCAAGAGGGTGTACCACCCCTTCCTGCTGAGGGAGCCCCAGGTGACCGCCAGCCAGGGCAAGAGGGGGCTGCTCAGGGGAAAGGGCAACAACCAGAGGCCTTGCGCCTGCGAGAGCTTGGTTGCGGCGCGTTGAACACTGCAGGCGTCTTGCAATCTGAGGCTATGTTGTCATGACGGCCCCGTTTTCTCGAGCACTCGATCGCCCTCCCTTTGCCACGTGCGCGAGCACGCGCACGCGCGTGCACACACACACACACACACACACACAAACACACACACACACACACACACACACACACAAACACACACACACACACACATACACACCACTACACACCAGATCTCCATCAGCGGGGGCCGCGTGGTGGCAGCCTGGGTCTATGATGACCCGCGCCTGGCCAACACCAGCCACACCCGCCACCAGGTGGGGGGCTGACAGGGGGCTGCAGCACGTACAGGGGGTGACGGCTGGGATGGGTGTTTGCGCAAGTACATGTGCAGGCAAAAGTGATGACGCGCATTCGATGCATTTAGGAGTCTCCCCGTAGCCTATGTCAGGGGGTTGTGTGTTTCCTGCAGCCTTCCTGAACCTCCAACCGGCTTCCTAGTCCCCAACACGATGCATGGAGCCCTGACCATGGCATCCGCCTCCCCGCCGACCCCCCAAGGTGGGCGCTTTTCTGGTGACCCCCAGCCTGGAGGACCTGGCGGACAACCTGGCCCCTGTGGCGGCCGCGATGGCCGGCATGGGTGCAGGCGGCTCGGGCGGCACTCTGCACATCGCTGTATGCGGTGAGACCGGCGAGCGCCTTCCAGGTGCCGCCGTCGTCGCGACCATGTGTGCACCAATCTTGCTCGATCGTGCATGTGTTGAGCCTAGGTGTCGCCCGTTTGCAACCTCCTGATGGCATGTAAGAACAATCCGGCCGCATGAGGTGGATCTGCTGGCGCTCATAACCGACACACAACTGTCTGACATCACCTCACCATCAGAAGCTCCTCCTTGCACACGCCCTGCCTCACCGGTCAATATGCACCCCAACCCCCCAGGTGGCGACGCCCTGAAGCTCTCCCAGGCAGCGGAGGTCCTGTTGCTGCCCGGCGCGCTGGGCGCCGCCGAGCCCGCCGCCGCCGCGCTGCAGCTCGCCGGCGCTGGCGAGGATGGTAGCAACGCGGCAGAGTCGGTGCGGCGCGCAGCGGCGGCGGTCGCCAATGCCAAGCTGGCGCTGCGGGGGCTGCAGGTAGGGTTGGGAGAAAACCTCCACCAGCCGGCCTGGTCCATACCCAGTAAGCGCCATCAGCACAGGCGCCGCCACATTCCTTTGCTTACTCTTCGCCATACAGCACCTTGCGATTTGGGTTGTTGGGATTGGTATGGCTCATCAAATTGCCACTGATGGCGTTGCTGTGTCAATCAACTTCCCTGTCAAGGTGTCCACCGTGAGCGTGCTGGCGCCCGGCGTGAGCACGATGCCGCTGCGCAGCGGCTTTGTGTGGGACGAGGCCACGGGGGCCTTCAAGTACGACCCCTTCCTGCGCCAGGTGCGCGCTGGGTGGGGGGTTGGGTGTAGAGGATTCTAGGGATGTGTGGGGTGGGGTGGGGTGGAGTGGGACTCTGGGATCAGGGTTAATAAACTAGGCTTTGCAGATTGGGGCGCGGGGATCAGGGGTTATAAGCTAGGCTTTGCAGATTGGGGCGCAGGACAGGTATCCAACCATTGTGTGTTGTTTCGGCCTTGATGCACCTGGCATGCTCACTTCCCGCGCGATCCTCAGCATTACTTCACCATCTACCGCTTGCCGCCGTGCGCCAGGTCGAGGCGCCCGTGGCGCGCGTGCTGGAGCTGGACAAGCTCTCCGGCTCCGAGGTGGCCTACACCCCCAGCCGCAACAGGCAGTGGCACATGTACGCCCGCAGCGACAGGGAGCCCAGGGGTCCCGCGCTCAAGAGGCTCTTCCTGCGAGGACAGGTGCGCTGCGGCACACTCTGATGGGGAGGGGCGCGTCGGCCGTGCCTGCATGCACGTTGCGCTGGCTCCCTTTTGTGTACGTGGTGCCTATCGAAGGCCTGCCTCCTGCTTCAGTACCATGCAGTGTGCTCACATCTGCTTGAAGAGTCTGTTGGCTGTTCGTTGCTGTACCCAACACAACTTGAATGCCACCTGTACACCTCCCCAGGTGCGCCAGCTGGGCCACCCAGCCCTGCTGGCAGCGCAGTACAGCGGCAACAACATCGCGGTCGCGACCGCGGCGGTCAACGAGCTCGAGGAGGCTCTGGTGCGCTGTGTTGGGGTGGGGGTGGCCAGGAGGGGTATGCATGTGTCTGTATATGAGTGCGTGCACTGTGTTTGTGCATGTGCGCTTGCATGCTTCCCGAGGTCTGCATGAAGCGGTGCTGCCTGAAATAAGGTGGCAGCATGGCTTCATCACTATCGAAGCGCTTTGCTGGTGTGTATTTGTTCGTCTAGCTTGTGTCAATGACCTCATAGTCCATTTTCATGCACGCGCCATGTTGCCGACGTCAATCGCAGGTCAACTGCCTGGAGGAACTGACACGCCCGGCACCCGACCACGGCGCTGCCGGCAAGGCTGACTGGGTTCACCTCTTCTTCAGGTGTGCTGTGCTCACACATGCGCTTGTGTGGGTGTGAGCACGGTCTGGGGCCAGGCCCAGAGGTGGCCTTGTCGCCGGTGCCGGTGTGCTCTCGTTGGCATGCAAACGCTTCTGTGCCAAAACTAATCCCAGGCACGTGTCGCGTGCACGCTCACGCAAGCCAGCCCACGCATCTTGCACTCTGCCGCTGCTCCTGCAAAGCCTCGCCTTTCCATGACAACAAGCACCACCTTCCTTGTAACCCGAGCCCCACCCCCCCCCCCAACCCCCCCACAGCGTGCTGCCGCTGCTGCCGCTGCACCACGCGAAGGACGAGGCCCGCGTCGCGTCCGCCCTGCGCAGCGCCGTCGCTGCTCTGGTGGCCAAGCACAACGCCGCGTTCCGCACCGCGGCGGTGGCGGTGTGGGAGATCCGGTTCCGGGTGCCTGACGCCAGCGGCGCTTGGCGCGTGCTCGTGTCGTGCCCGACTGGTGAGTGGCACTAAGTCGAGTCCGATTGGATGCCCTGCCGGCTCTCTGTGCATGTGCCTGTGCCTGTACCTGCGCATGTGGCCAACCTCGGTTTGGATGCAAAGCCGAAACAGGCTTCTGCCCATCTTGCGCATTCCTTATAACCTTGTTTTATCTTGGAAAATTGATTTCGGCCCCATTGGATATCCACAATACAACCACCCCATTCCATCTCATTGACTATCCTATCAACGCGCCATCCCCGTGACAGGCCATGAGGCTGGTGAGGAGCATGTGGAGGTGTACCGCGAGGCGCTGCAGGCTGACGGCGGCGACGGCGCGGTGGGTCACAGTGGCGCTGCGGCTGGGGGGACAGCAGGGGCGATTGAAACGATTGCATCACTTTTGGCGTTTGTCTACTACGTGTGTTGCAGAGTCATCCCAGCGATATGAATCGGAAACGTGTTGATGCGAGCCCGCAAGCCATAGACCTTGCAACAACGCAGCGCTTGCCGCTCCAGTCCTGACGCGCAACCAACCCAAAATCCCTCTGCCTTGCCTTGTTGGCCCCCCACAGGCGCCGGAGCTTTGCTACGCTGTGCCGGCATCAGAGCAGGCGTCAGGCGTGTCCCCCTCCGACTGCACCCTCCACGGCCGCCGCCTGCTGCAGCCCTACCCGGCCCTGGAGCCGCTTCAGATCAAGCGGCTGGCGGCGCGGCGCCACAACACCACCTACTGCTACGACTTCCCCACCGTGTTTGAGAACGCCCTGCGCGACATCTGGTGGGCACCCAAGTTTGCATGGGCTGTTTTGTGGCTCTAAGTTGCGCTGCAACAGGCGTGCCTGCCTTGCAACGGCAGTCAAGGGGTCATAGGTGGCCTCAGCGTGTGCGGTTGTGGTTCAGCTGTCAAAGGCCGGGTCCCAAGGCACAGCAGAACCCGCCGCGGGCTGTCAGGCACCCACAAGAACACCTGCACTCATCATGTCCTGCATTCGTTGCCCGATTCCCCCACCCCCCAAGGTCCCTGCGTGCGGCCCAGGGTGAGCCCAACAGCGTGCCGCCTGCGGGCCGCCTGGTGGAGGCCGTGGAGCTCAAGCTGCCCTCAGGCATCACGCAGGTGAGCGCCACAGTCCTTAAGGGCACAGCTACCACGCGCATCCCGGTTTGCCAGAACTTCCGGATTGCTCTCCAGGATAGGCCCCCTTTGGACAGTCCAGGCCATGGCAACTGCTGTGGCAGTGACGGGCCGTGAGGCGGCCGCGAGATTACACCTGTATATGTGCAAGCTTGAAGTCATCCAGAGAATCTTACAAGGTGCCCACCAATTTGCCTGCCCGCAGGACTTCCGCACCACGCGGCTGGAGCTGACGCGTGTCGAGCGCGAGCCGGGCCTCAACACCACGGGCATGGTGGCGTGGCTGATGACGCTCAAGACACCCGAGTGCCCACAGGGCCGACAGGTGGGGGGGGGGATGAGGGGAAGACCATTGACAGGGGCAGGCACTGGAGCCTTAGCGCATGGTTAGGCCCCTGGCTTCATGTCAATATTGCCAGGCAGCCGTTTTACATGTGCCCATCCTTGGAACATGCCCTTGTTGTTGTTCCAAGGCACTTCTAGGCCCCTACATATGCTCACATGGAATCCTCATGCATTTCACGCCCCAACCTCCAACCCCAGCCTCACCCAACCTTTAAACACCCTTCCTGTCTTCCGCCCCTCCAAAGGTCGTGGCCATTGCCAACGACATCACCTACCAGAGCGGCGCCTTTGGGCCGCGCGAGGACTGCCTCTTCAGGGCCGCCACAGAGCTGGCGCTGGAGGAGAAGCTGCCCTGCATCTATCTCGCCGCCAACAGGTTTGGCTCCACCTCCCCTCCTCTCACCTCCAAACTGCCGTGGCCACCACAGCCGGGGGCTGCAGTCTGTGGAGGGGACCGCTTCACTGCCATCCCCTGTGTCGTCAGCCAGGCCAAGACGCCTGGGACAGCCGGCTGCTTCAGCCTCATCATCCCCACGCCCTTGTTGGGGTGCCCAACCACACACCGACCCACTGCCCCTACCGTCAACACCACCCACCGCCCTGTCGACACCCACCCCCACCCCTCCCATCCCCCAGTGGTGCGCGCCTGGGTGTGGCCACTGAGGTCAGGGACAACCTCAGGGTGGCCTGGGCCGACGACGACGCCCCCACTAAGGGCTTCAGGTGGGCAGCGGGCGCAGCCCCAGGGCCTGACCATCGTGTCCAAGTTCGCAGATCTGCACATAACAAGCAGCCAGGCGGCGCCGCAGGGTACTCTCTATCAATGCGTCTTCAACTGATCACCTCTTCTCCTGCCCCACAACTACCTACGCGTTGGCCCGTCCCCATGCACCCACATCGTCCCCAGCTCCCTTTCCTGCAAAGCGGCCCCTCCCACCCCGTCAACGCCGCTGTCCACTCATCACTCCCCCCCCCCCACACCACCCCAGCTACATCTACCTGTCTGACGAGGACTACCACCGGCAGCTGCCCGGCGGCGCCACCATTGGCGCCTCCGTACGCGCGGAGCCCCTGGTCACACCCTCGGTGAGGCCCGCCGATTGGGCAACGATGGTTGACTCAAGCGCTGAATCTGCTTGGGTGTATGCGGCGCGATGCATGCCAGGAAGCCCAACAGCCAGCAGCTCTCATTCAGTTGGAAACCCACCACGGCAGTTCCCACACAATTCGCCTACTTGTCTACGAACCCTCCTCCCCAACCCCCAGGGTGAGAGGCGCTGGGTGGTGAGTGACATCATCGGGGCGGAGGACGGCCTGGGGGTGGAGAACCTCTCAGGGTCGGGCGCCATCGCCTCCACATACTGGTGAGAGGCAGCGCACACCCGCCCTCGCAACCTGCCTCCTGCCCCCCCCCCCCCCCCCCCCCACACACACACACCTACACAC